CGCGACGTTCAGATCCAGTCCAGCAACCCTATCGCTCGCCCGGGGGCCGGCGCGCGCGCGCGGTCGCGAGATTTCGCGCGGGCCGGTTACGCACCGACGTCTTAGGCGCGCGCGGCGCCTGGAGCGCCGAAGCGCTCGCGAGCAGTGCACAGAGAGCCATTGCGCGAGCCATTGCGATGGATTGCGTCGTCAGCGTCAAGCGTGGCCGGGGATCGATCGGGTCATCCGTGCCGCGTTCTGGCCGTGTCCGGCGCCAATGCTGGATGGAAAACCGGACCCGTCCTGAGTATGGCACGTCCGCGCGGGCCGCGAAGCGAGTCCACGGACTGCGAGTGAGCCCCCGCGCGCCTGGCCCCTCGGAGCTAGATGCCAGCCCGGCCGCCCGTGGCGGTCGCGGCTAGGCTTGGAGTCCCAGTGCAGCAATGCCTGGTGCCGCAAACCCCCCGGGTAGGCCCTCTAGCTGTTAACCCTGCCTAGCCTAGCCGCGGGTCTTGCCGCAAAGACCATGGTCTTGACCTGAGGCCGCGTCTCCGTGCTGATGGCCTCCTTCGAGGAAGACTCCGACCTCCAGGAGGAGTCGGACGACTACAGCTACGAGTCCGGGGAGGACGACAACGCCTCCGACTCGGAGGCGGAGACGTCGCCGCCGCAGCAGCCCTACCCGGTGTCCTTGTCGGAAGAGGAGGTCGCGTCGGAGGCGCGCCGCCGCGCGACGGCCGTGCAGCGCGCCCTCGGCTGCTCGGCCTTCGCGGCGCGCGTCGCGCTGCGGCTCGGCCGCTGGCAGCACGCCGCGGCCGTCCGCGACGCCGCGGCGCCTGACGCGCCGGCCGCGGACGACGGGAACTCGTGCGCCGTCTGCTACGGCGACGGCCTCGCGCTCGTCGCCAACGAGCGCTGCGGCCACGGCTTCTGCGGCGACTGCTGGCGCGGCTTCCTCGCCGTGGCGCCGGGCCTCGACGCCGGCTGCCCGTCCGCGGGCTGCGGTCGGCTGCCGTCCGACGCCGTCGTCGCGCGCGTCTTCGGCGCGGATTCCCCGGAGGCGGCGCGGCGCGCGGCGCTCTGGGCGAACTCGCTCGTCGACGACGGGGCCGACGCGCGCTGGTGCCCGCGGGGCTGCGGCCGCGCCGTGCTCTTCGACGCGTCCGGCGACGCCGCGCGGTGCGCGGAAGCGCGGTGCGACTGCGACGACTCCAACCGCTTCTGCGGCCGCTGCGGCCTCGACGCCCACGCGCCGGCGACCTGCGAGGACGCCGTCACGTGGGTGCGCAAGCGCGAGGAGGACGCGACCGTCGCCGCCGACGCCGCGGTCGCGGCCAAAGAAAACGATG